CTGAGTGGCAATGAGAACTCAAGCTAAAATTATAGGAAAGATTAGATTATCGTATGTATAATTTGAAAATTAATAATTACCTCACCTCACACAGTCGACGTTTCTACAATGAACAATGAATCTCTCTTATGCAACATTTTGTAACTCGTTAATATATTATAAATTATCGTCAAATTTTTAAAAAATAACTGCGAGAACAATATGTGTCTTGTCATTTCGACAGTCGGTTAAATAATGATTACTAAACAAGTAGCGATCAATTTGAAGACAAACAAGTTTCTGACATATTATGTTACGAACAAACCTTAAAGTTTATTGAGGATTTCAATGTACGCATGATTTAAACCAATGGTATCATGTTGTAAATTCAGCCCATTGGTCTGTCGATTAATATGGATGATCTCTGATATTAATCTTTTGTAATAATTTTCTACATCCAAAATCTTTACGTTTTGCCAATCAAAGTCATGATCGTTCTGCAACCTATGTTCTGTGATCACTGAATGAGTGGATGTTTTACTATGGATATACTTTTTGTGTTCAGAAAGTCTGGTTTTTAATTTTCTCCCAGTTTGTCCCACATAGGAAGCATCGCAATCACGACAATTGATCTTGTATACTACATTCCTTTTTAATTCATTGTTTAAAGAATCTTTATGAACTATAATAAACTGATTCAACTTGTTCAAACTAAAAAATGAAACCTTATGGCAAACCCCATTAATTGCATTCTTGAATTTATTCGATATCTCTTCCAAATACGGTATGGAAAACCATTTAACACGTTCTTTAGGTAAATTGTTATTTGTTTTTTTAGCTGAACAAGAGTTCAATTTATTTATTAATATTTTAACTCTTTCATTAATAGTATCGAATATAAAATCTATTGGATAATCGTTTTCCAACAGTATCTTAACAATTCAAGATTTTTTTTGTGAAATTGTGGGTGTGAGATATAAAAAACTTTATCTACCAAATTAAATATTATGCCCTTCTTTTGCGAGATTGGATGCTGAGACAAAAAATTCAAAAATCTTCCCGAAAACGAAATGTATAAATATAAATAATTATATATATAATAACAAAACAAATATATATACATATTATATTTAATAACAACATGATATAAAATAACAATTAAAGTAAATGTGATGCCGCTTTGAACTTTAAAGTAACAAGAGTCACTGATGTCCGTCCTAGATAATGACTCGTATCGCGTTGCGCGCTTTCTACATTGTGGTCCCAACGTTCGTATGACGTTAACGGCTGCGGTCGCCATCCAGTTCGTTGGGTCGTGTACTTCCGGATAAGAGAAGCGCTTTCCAGCGTATGAGTACATATGTGCGACGCGCCTTTCCACGCAGCATCGTTACTCCGGTCTTACTTACGATCGACTTGGTAATGGCACTTTCGCGTGATAGCTTAATGCGACCGTTAACTAAACGACGGCGCCCTGCGTATCGATTCGCTGTAAACTAAGAATTCGCTGGTGCGCGCGATTGTCGCGGCACCTTCGAGTCCAACGTGGGCGAAACATACGGTCCTGTTCTTGGCCATTATATGCAAAATAGCCCGTTTAGCGTTACCGCCACTCCTAAGGCAGGTTAATGACTTTCGCATTAGCCGAAACTTCGTATTCGCGGTTCAATTTCTCCTCTCTCGTGCCGCTGGTATCGGCGGTTACGCTGGAACGTTCCCTATTGTATTGGCGGTGTTCACAGTACCACGAACGTGATACCGAATTCGCAATTTAATTTCAATTTCGATCTATGACTTTGAAAACAACCTTTGATTTTTCCGACAACAATTTTTAGCACAATGGTACGATAGAATAAATATAAATTTGCAAAAAAAAAAAGCTATACACAGTGCTGTACTATTAAGGAATAAATTTTGAAAAATGTATAAAAGCATTTAAAATAAAAAATTATCTCGAGATTTAATTATAACTTTTTAACATCACAATTCTTGAAATAGATAAAATTGGAACTTGCGCGTAGTGAACAGGCCTTAGCAGTTTCTTTTTTATATAATGATGAAATTTTATCATGATTTCGATAATTTGAAGAAATGATATATGCGTCATTTACCTCGAATGGATGCAAATCGGAGCAGTCGAGCCCATGCGTTATTTTTAATAAAGTATCAGCGTGAGTCATACACTGTAATATGCGAGCATGGTGTATAAAACATTTCTTATCTACCGTCAGCATGGCCTCCTCCGAACGAGCGGCTGCACATGCGAGCATCCTCTGTTGTACTTTCCTTATTTACCATCGCATGAAAGACTTTTGCGATTCCGTTCGAATCTACGCGCTATGTATGCGTAGGCATTGCAAATTTTCACAGAAGGAATGATTTTGTTGAAATATATGCAAAAATTTAGTTAGATACAGATTTTAAATTAATTTTGTTGGGTCATCAAAATATTTATGCAGAAAACTCAAGCATAAGTAACGTTGCAAAAAGTTTTGACGTTCTAGCAACCAACTTAAGCGTTCTATACTCGGTTCTATATAATTATTTTGACAGTTCAACAACATTATTTTCAAATCTGGCTAAATTTTTAGTTATAGCAAACTATTTTTTCTACTGTATTGAGAGATATAAGAGAATAGAATATAATATCACTAAAAAAAAATGTTCCGTTCTATGAATAAAAATTTTGTTGTAACAACAAAAATTTGGTTGAAATATACCGAATAAAAATATTTGGTTAAAATGTATATCGAACAAAACATCTTATGGAACTAAATTGTAATAGTTGATATAAACAAATATTTTTGTTATTTACAAAGCAGAGAAATTATTTTATAAAAACAACTAAATATATTTTTTTAGCTTGAACAAAAAATCTATTCAAATATATTTAGAGGAGTTAGGATACAAAGTTATACGTAGTAAAAATGTAATTAACATTAGGATAATGAGCGACGAATTTTTTTTGTTGCGAGAAATTCCCTGTATCTCTCAAGAAGTGATGCGTATGTAAGAGCGCGGTTCTCCATATGTCGCAGTTGTTTGCGTTTCAACACGGAGGGCAAACTCGTCGATGCAGTCACGACAAGCTATAAGTCATCCGCGCGACAGAAGCTTGTTGCGTGAGTGGATGCTGAGGATCCGCCTAGAATCTTTCGAAGATCTTTCTCGCACAAGATAAAATACGACGAGTCTCGGAGACTATATATATGTATATCTAGTCGTTTTATATAGAATCGACAGAACTGTCGTGATTTATGCCTGCGGATTGTTCCGACATTTGAAAGTCGATCTACTTATTAACTCAAATATTTAAGTACCAATAGTATTTTTATAAAGGTTTAAGGAATGCATCGAATTATGTGAAAATTGATTCTTCCAGAGATAGCGGAATCGATGAGAGAGGTTTAAAGTGATTGATGTAATGGTTAACAATAAATTAATCACTTTCGTAAGATGCTTGTGCAATCACTTCGCACACAAGCACGCGATGCACCATGCACCAGGCACTGTTACGGAATTGCAATGTGCAGCGAAACTCCTCGCGCAAGTAGATACACTCATGCACGCTAAATCAGCCAAATTGCTCGCTATTCTCCCTCGCATCTGAGACGTCCGACAGATTGCTCCGCGGACGGAGTCGACGAAATTTCTCTTCAGGTCAGAGCCAGAGTCTGCCGAGCGCAATAGGTCCCAGGCAGTGCGGTATCCAATGGGAAGGTCCGTCGATTTTCGTCGATGTTCATTGGTGGGAAGCTTTGTCATCTCCGCTACGAGGTCTCCCGCCCTTCGTTCCGCTGCACACATCGGCCCATAGTGCGCGCCAAAGTCAGCCCGATATCCTATCTCCCGGTCATTGTATGCAAATCCGTTCCATTCGTGGAATCGAACTGGCCTTTTTCTGATGTCTGACGCGATAGCCGCGAGAACGATCATCCGGGAACGGTATATCCGGACGTTTCGCCGCCGCGGGGCTTCCTCGGTGGACGTCGCGCCGCGACGCGGGTCGTCGCATGCATTCGGCCAGAGAACACGAACGTGGACCGCTCGTTTTTTATCTCCAAATTCGATGTATCATATGCTGTTGCCGAGAACGATCTCTCTCGCATAATTTAGCTTACTGCCCTCTTCTTTCTTTCGCCATCGCATTTTTGGACGTGCGTGTTACGCTTATTATGCGGACTCCCATTTTCATTTCACGAAAATATTTTCTCTTACATGAATTTCGATAATGCGGGATAATCGAGCTGAAAACAAGCCCCTGCTTTCAACTAACGCGCACATGGAAAGAACGATTTTGCTGAATGCAGATTTGAAAATAATTTTGTTAGACCATCAAAATAATTATGTTAAAAAACTAAAAAGTGATGAGAAACGCTGCAAAAAATTTTGATATTCTAACAACCAGTTTGAATTTCCAACAAAATTATTTTTATAATCCGACAGAATTATTTTTCAGACTTGTATCTAGCAAAATTTTAGATTTTTCAGTAAAATCGTTCTGTCCGTGCACGTAATGACCGAAATAATTTTCCAGGAATATTTTGAATGTGTTAGATAGATATTACACGGAAAGAACGATTTTGCCGAAGTATCTGAAAATTTAACTAGATACAGATCTGAAAATAATTTCATACCATTAAAATAATTACACTATTAAAAATATTATGATATTTAATGTACTTTTGAATTATATGAGTTGAATTTAATTTCATGACCATGACATTACATTAAATTTAATGTATCTATAACTGAAACGTACATTTGTATATATGTATATGAAATTTAATGTATTTTTCATAAAATGTTATAAAATTTAATGTATTTTCCATATTTTATGTGGATTTATATGAATGCTAACGTTCATTACATTTAAGACTATAACTTAGTTTTCAGTTAAATCATTTATTACTTTTTAGTTACCTGCTTGACCACAAGCTTTCGTTATACGTGTTACTTAAATTCATTACTAAAAATAATTTATTAAAAAATATTTATAAGGCGGGATAATCATTGATAATAATTTATTCGTACAGAACTCGAGCGGAACATGTCAAAACTATTGTCAAAGTGTCTAAAATTATCGGGTTGACACGTTTCTGTGGAGTTCGAATATTCTAACCTGTGCGTATAAAAATTATTAATTGTTAGAATTTTGTCCTGAAATGTCATATAATAATCAATCTATAAACATATAATAATCAATTTGTCTGACAATAGGTATCGAACCTTCTTAACGCCGGCTATCGATTTTATCTTTTCCGGGAGGTAGCTTATGATATATCGGTCGATATTAATAAATGTATGCTGTATAAAAATCGTGAATACGACTGGATAGCAGGTGTTGTAGAAATGTGTCTTTATGTGAATGTACAAGGTTTATCGTCGCACACGCGGAGGAAACGGACTAGAGGAAGGCAGAAAGGCATGCTTGTTCAATCGAGCGTCACTATAATGAAACAGAATGCAAATTGCGACTTCCATATGGACGTGTATACTCACTTTTCCTTCTCACTGGCTTCCGGTAGTAAAAACTTGACGGCCACGAGTCGCTTGCCAAGGGTAGTCGTTGTCCCGTATTCCGGAATCCCTTCAGCTTCCGCCACGTATACCTTTATATGCATAATTTGTTTGAATTGCGTTATGTATATGCATAGAAGCTACTCATGATCAGAGTAAATTTGACAGAAAACAAGTGAAATTTTGTAATTTGTTGTAATGTTGACGAATCTCGGTTGTATTTGATTTTACACAAGCCGACTTTTTGCTGACTTTGTTTATCGTTTGTATTGTTAAAATTTTTTCACAAATGTAAATAATAATAACAATTTTGCAAGAACATTAATTTTTACTTAGTTTTTCAATTATGCAGCCAAGCGGATTGCACTACAATTGAAAGAATTTTTTGTTTAGTCAAAGATAATAATACTCTCTAAATCTGGATCAGTGGATAGTCACTAATTACCCAGTGGCATACTTGGCACTGGACAATAAATGAAGTTCAATTAAAAAAGGCATACTGTTTGAGCATTATATAACTAAAATACTGATATTTGCACATTCAATCTTCCAATAACGTATTCATTGAATTTATGCACTAAAACAACAGGTTAGTTAGATCACATAGTAAAGATTAGTTAGGTTAGATATCTCACATTTCATTTACTAATTATCAGTGACATACTTGACACTGATATCAATGATTATCCACTGATTGAGATTTAGAGTACCAAGAAAAAATTTATACATTTATAAATTTATATATGTATAAATTTAATGCATATACTATTAAGAAAAATTATTTTTTAAAAATGTATTTCTCTCTGTTTTTAATCCTAGCGTATAATTTCTGAAGAAAATACCGATTCTTTTCCGACACAGTAAAATTTTGAATAAGTACAATCAAAAGAAATACGATTTACTCCGATATAGGTCCAAAAACGGTCTTCTCCGAAAAACAAAATTGTTCCTTCCACAATGATACGAATTAAAAGAATATATTCTTTTCATTAGTTGTATTAATTGGAATTTTGATGGAAAATAAATGACTCAGAATTCTGGTTAAATCTAGAATTTTAGATTTAACCGGAAATCTAGTAGACTAATCTCAGAATTTTAGATCATTTTCCACCAGAATTCTAGTTAATTCAACCAAATACTTTTCTCCGTGTAGTATTATACGAAAATACATTCAGAGAACTCTTGAAGCCTTAGTAACCGTAGTCTGAAAGTCTAGGACGGAAGTAAAGGATAATCAATCATTGTGTATGCATCGCGTAACACGATTGTACTCTTCTGTGACTTCCGTGTAAGAGATTCGACGATCTTCCGGTAATCTCGCACGAAGACGATTGATCTCGTAAGTCGACCGGGACTAGAGATCGACGTGTCCGATCTCGCGTATACCCATGGGAAGTCCCGCACGATCGCGTCTGCATGCATCCGCATCCACGGAAGCCTGACGCGGCAACTGGCAAACTGTGCGAAACGAACGAGCCTTTCGACGATCCTCCTCCTCCTCGCCCGTTGTCATTAACGACACGTTGTCGGTTCCCGGAGCGGGAAACAAAAGGGAATTATTAGCCGCTCTAACGCATCCTAAACTGATTATCCTCGACGACCCCGATGAGGTGCCATTGTGCCAGCGAAGAATAACACGTCCCGGGTACTTCATTAATCGACGTATTGTTGCGCATCCTGCGCATGTTGAATTACTCGTGCACGCTGCGCGGCCAACAAACGGATTGATTTCGCGATCGTCACTGTGCCGGAGAAGTTGCGACACATTACCTAAATTTACGCGGGATAGTACGAACTTGCTTTTTATTCGCGTACAATCGTAGCGGTAATGCTGATAAATTAATTGTTATAACGGCGTAATGAATTTTCTTTGTTACGTCCGTGTCCCTCGAAACGAGAACGACTTTGCACTCTAGATCATTTTTAAATCGAATTAAAATAAATAAAGAATACAAATAATACACTAAACACAAAAATAATTGCAAAGCCATTATCGTTCGATTCGTTGGTTCATCGAGTGTTCGTGTCTAATTGGAAATACAGTGAGTACAAAAATTATTTGTACAGGAGAAATTTTTATTTAAAAAAGCTTTTATTTTTAGAAAATGAACATTAATTTGCAATTTTGTAGAATAAGTCTGTTCTTTATCGATAAATTTTCTGAACTGGTGTACACCGGTGCAATAAGTTTAAGTGAAACAAATATATTTGTGAAACAAATATATTTGTTCTTCACGTTTGTGTTCACTATAAAGAGAATACATTTATTGAGTATCTACGTTCTGTGCTAATATAAACAAAAGAGCTTCGCGTGTACCCGATCTATAGAAGCTAAATTTCTCATATATAAGAATACTTTTTGTGCATGTCCGAATAATACGATTTTTCATTTTTGTTTATTTTTAAGATAATATACATATATTTTAATTATTACACTTTTTAAGTAAAATAATTTTGAGAACCATACAGTCTATTGTATTCTTTGTTAATAAATTGCTAATTAATATTTATTTTTTTAAAATAAGGTCTTTTAAAAAGACATCTCTCTTGTACGAATACTTTTTGCGCCCACTGTATATACTTAATATTCACGGGTGTAATAACAACGTCATTACCGTTCCGAAGGCGCCTTCGGCAAGTTTGGAGAGCATGCGAAGGCGATGCCGTGGGAAGAGCGGTACGCTGGTCTGCTCCAGACGTCTCTTCAGGGCCGAGAGTACCTCCTGTTGAGTCGGCGACTGTAACACGAAAGCGCAAATGTATTGTGCGGGCTATCCGATGATAATCAACGATCTATGATCACGCTAGTCGCGCCGGGGCGCATCGTAGGTATCGCAGGATCTACGACCGTCATTCGACAAACGGCTTACCCCCTTCGATCCTCGCGTTCACGTGGATTATCGAGTGCACGAAAGAGCACGCGGAACTGTAACACAACTTACAAGTATTTTATTGGTCGCGGACTAGGTATCCCATTGTTGATTGGTAAAAGCTAATTTCTCGGCTGACTTGTAGAATGTTAGATACGACGTGATATATAGGTGTATCTTGTGCAACTTTCATCGAAATATAATACTTTCCATTGTTGGATCATGAGATATTTTAATGAGATATATGATTTATAAAACATTGCAATAATATGTTTTCGTAAAGGATGGCATAGAAATCTTGCCAAATTATTTCGTGGTTCGAAGGACACGACGAGGTTTATAAATGTCCCGTCAATTTTAAATTGTTGCATTCGAAAATTGATACATTCGTATAGTGGTCAATAATATGCTGTGTGCGCGATCATCTATATTTATTCGGAGATACGTAAGTGATCGTGGAAGTCGTCTGAAACTTGATGTTCTCATAAGTGAGAGTGACATGAAAAGAAATATTGTCGAATACGTTGGGTACTCGCCGAGTAATCCCTGTTTTACGGATAACAGTGAATCTGCCGAGAAGGATGATTGGCGTTGCTACGAAGCGTCAAGGCCAGACTCGACGCGACACGGGGTGAAATGTTTTGACTGTTTCGAGTGGTGCTGTCGGGTGTCAATCACGCGCAGACGTCTCGACGTAGACACGGGCACTTTCGGATCTGGAGCGTCCCGTCCCGAGCATTGTGCCCGGATCAATCTCGATTCACGCCGCGGAAACCGTACGCAAAGCGCGATACCAGATGTGTCTATCCACAGGACACACGCGTATCCCGACGTAGAGAAAGGACTCACTCGACAGTGAAGAAGCTGTTCGCATTCATGGCTTCGAGGGAATCGATCGGGGAACAGGGCGGCAAATGCTTATCAAGTATTCTCCCTTATAACTCCCGATATGGACGTATCGAATCTCTATACAAAGCAGAATATTATACAGTAAAAAAGATACAAACACCTTCGTTGAATGATTAATGAGCGATCTCTTGCTTTCGTAATATTTGTAATAAAGATTGTTACAATTTTTCAGAGTCCGTTATTTTTATCGAGAAATATGCGCGAGATATATTTTACTTAACACTTTACAATCTTTTACGAAAATATATATGTTAATAGACAGATATTTCTGTGCAACGATATTTCTAAAATACATATAATTATATAATATATATATTAATAAAATATATAAATGTATAATATAAAAATCAATTTTTTTGTTCCAATGCAAAAATTATTCATCTGTAACATGTGTACACTCTGCGTTGTTTTCCTACCACTATAAAACGTGCGAAGCTCACGTGGCTGCTAAAGCAAGAGATCACATAAAATGTTGTACGTATGAACCGTATACTCTTTGCCGGCACTCGATACGGGATAGTTGGTGGTGAAATCAACCCCCATCGCACGATATTTTTGCGATGTCGGGTGAATGAGTCTTGCTACTGGAGGTGGGACGGTTGGGAACGTGATTACATGACGCGCTTTCTCTCCGCAATTAACGGAGCGGACTGAACGGAAAGCCGCTGGACCGCGTAATGATGATACATTCCATGAGGGTTGCAGCAGCGGGCGTATCCGCGAGAGAACCCTGTCGACGTGTCCTGTCGACGGGAGTTCGTTTACAGGCCGAATGACGACAGCGATCAATCGATCGATTTCGCGGACAACGTTGACTATGCCGTCAGTCTCCGGTTCTGTTTCCGGCGCATGTGGGACGAGCCGTGATAGCGATTTATTGTCTAAGCTGAGTGGCGTCGCGATGGCTATTTTGCATTCGCAACTTGCTCGACGATTTGTTCTAATCATCCTTTTCCAAAGTCGTGTCACTCGCGGGGATGATATTTCGCGGGCTCCAATCGCGGAGATTATTTCCGTTGTACTACACACAGAAAAAAGACTATTCTTAAATCAACCATAATATACTCATATATATAAGTAAATATATTGTAATTTTGCTTTAAAAATTTTAGTCTTGAATTTGTATTGATATAAGATTTTTAATTGAGCAAGTCTTGAATTAAGTGCAAAGTAAAATACTTGCATCAAAACAAATTTAATCAAATCAAGATTGATATCTTTGAAGCAAGATTATCATATTTTTGCTTATACATATATGAGTATATTATTTGTTGATTTAAGAATAGTCTTTTTTCCGTGCACGTAGAACATACAGTCATGTAGCCAGGGTAAGGACAGTTACTTCACAAATTACTTACAATAAATTACTTTTTATTCTAGAAATTGAATAGGTGCAATAAATTCAGGTATTTTAAATAATCGCATTATGTTAAATTAATACTTGAACATGTTAAAAATTTAACACGAAATTTTAACAAGGATTTGCGTGGGGGGACTTTTGTTTCTAACATAAATATAAAATGTTTTTATAAAAATATTTATAATCTGGATATAAAATTGTACAGTTTCAATTGTCATGTAGTTTTTATTCAAATCATATGTATGCCATTACGCGATGGGAAGAATACCGATTTCATTGTGATTTATTTACGATCTAATATTCCTGTATGTTCGAAGTGCATAAAATCCAACGAATATTTCAAAGAGAGCTTCCACTGTATAACGTTGTCGGTCTCCAGTTGATCGGTATCGCCGTATCGTTGATACAGAAAAAAAGTATCTGTCAGTGCAGATTACACACGCGCTTTTAAATTGATCTTCGACCGCGATCCCGTGATTCTTTTTATGTCGATGGAGAACCCAGGGGATCGTCTCGCGTGTTCGATCTTGGTCCGGAGGGGTTCCTGCGCTCTTTTCCGCCCTCGTACAGAGCTCTGGATACGAACTACTACGTTATACTGTACCCACGGGAGATATATCCGCCCCAATGTTCCGTTCTCGTTCCACCATATTGATTTAAATTATTAATTGCGAATTTATCTTCGACCGGTGGAAAGTTACGTTTAATGGTACGACAACGACGTGTACATTTTTCTCGGCTCTTTATTTATAGAGCGCACATTAGGATCGGTCGACATTATTCGTTAAATTTTAATACTATCGGCTTTCCTTTCATTCTTGATTAATTTAAATTTTCGTCGTTGCCTTGCGATACCCACGATTATACTATGCCAACTAAAAAGAGATATCTATCGTATATTTTCATTAGATATTTTAAAATATAAATATTAAACGAAAAAGATAAAACATATAAAAGTTAAAAAATATTTTAGATTTAACAACGTTTTCTAAAGCTAAAGATAAATAATTTTTTTATATTAAAAATTGATTAGATTGAATCTTTTTTCTCAAATCTCCTTATTGAATTTCTAAAGTTTTAGTAATATTGATATCATTACAATTAATAAAAGATTTTATCTTGTTCATTAAAAATTTGCCAAGTCATTTCTCTTGCATTCTGATTTACATCGAAACAATATTGGTAAAATTCCATACTTTTTGGATAACGTCTATGCCAGTGATAAAGTGACAATAAACGATATTTTTCGAAAAAAAATCGACAAAAATTGGTCTTTTTTAATTAAAGGCAATAAAATAAACAGAAAATTTTTTATCGATATCCTAATTCAGTATTCTAGTATCACTATTCTAGTTGAGCGTCAATTGAGAGAGTGTGTTTTTCAATTTAAGCTTCATCCAAAATAAAATAGTAATAGATAGAATAGGAATCGATGTAACAAATTCGTTTTTGTCACAAGATATTGAATGTAAGGCAATATTGTCTTTACTAATAAACGCGAATCAGATCTATATTAAAAATTTTTAATTCTATTACTATTTTTTTCTTATAAAACTAAAAACGAATATAAAATTCAATAACAAATATTATCTTTAACTTTGTTTTAAAATAATATATTTCACATATTAATTTGATTTTTAAAAAACTATCATTATAAGATGTTATTATTAGTTCGTTTTGTTATTTTTTTAATTATCGTGACTGGTATAAATTACTAATTAAAGCAAAATATCTTTTTGCATAAAGTGTATAAACATATCTTTTATTATACATTTTCATAATTCGCTATTTTATTTGGATAAGGTCTAGAATGGTAAAATTGAGAATTTATCATAATTTTTTCCACTCATTGGATTTTTTTTATAGCCAACCCTGCATTAAAATCTAGCTTAACGCATATATATGTAATTAACTAACGTAAAATATAAAATCAAACTGAAGGATTAAGAAATGCGAATTTGTCACCTTCTTGTCCTCGGTCTTGGTCCGCGAGCTCTTGGAGAAGAAGCTGTCCTGATCGCCAGTGGCGTTGGAGACGGTCGCCCCGCGGCCGACGCCGGCATCCTGATTGAGCAGGGGTACCGTGCCGAGTTCCGGTACCGCATAATCGTACGACGTGTCAACTGCACCGTTTGCGTATACTGCTGCGGATGATATAGCAAAGGAGGAGCGAGCGCAGAAGGGGATGGTGTATTGATTGCGGTCAGGGCGAATGCTTTGTTGCCGGGACGTATGTAGGTGCACGGCCGTTGGCACAGGAGCCGCGGCGTTTGAATGTGTGTACGCAGAATGCGTACATAAGTGTGTGTGTAAATGTGCGTGCCTACATGAGTATGTGCGTATGCAAATAGTCGCGAATGGATGTAGATGTAGACGCCGTAGGTGTAGTTGCGTTCGAGCGCCGCATACCTGAGTGATTGATGTTGGTGCCCTTGTTGTTCAGCATCATGTCTTTCATCTCCATAACGACGGTGCTGTAGCTGTAGTACGGAGCGTACTTTAGCGCCTGATATGGCTCTTGGTAGTCGTCCAACTTCACGATGTCTAGAAGACGATTTCCGAGGGGCAAAGTAGGTAGAGAACCGCCTGCGTATCTGAAAGAGAAGCAATTGATTAATAGTCATCATTCCATTTATCATCAAGTCATGATGGCCAATAATTCCTTGTAGCTATATAAATAGGGTAAAGTGAGATAATTTAGATAGATTGACAACAATGTTCAAATTGTATAAAAGATTGGGATCACATAGTGTAATCAATCAAACATATCAAATGTATACTATTGATGCAATAATATATGTTTTGTGTTTGTCATTGAATACATTATGTGACCTCAATCTATTATACAATTTGAAAATATACAAATTTCTATTAAATTACTCCTAAATTTATCCTATATTATTCGTTCATAATAATAACAACGAAATATATATATTTTTTCGTAATATAATGTATATTCCTTTTTGTACATGCAACTCGATATTATCATCTACTTATGTATAGTCAAATCACATCATCCAGTAAGCATTTTTTATTAGTCCCACATAAATAGCTTCATTTAAATCATGGTATATTAATGCGATAAGATGTTATTAATCCGCATCGCATTTAAAAAGAATCGCACATCTAAAATGCATTGAAATAACTCTGACTTTGCGGATCGTACAGATCTTCGGTTTTCAAGAGCAGTATATTTTCCGCTTGGAAATTTTAGTATTATGTGTGCGGAACACGCGGTCCGTCAAAGGCTCAGCGCAACATTCGTACGCCTACTTGAAGTTGCACGTTACACGTTCTCTCTTTCGGTACGAAGCTCGCAACTGCAATATCGGATTGCACAAAGCGGACGGGGAACTCGGAAGGGGGGGATCGATGCCGAAACTGGTGCGGGATGCTTCGGAGTTACGAGGCGGCCGGAGGATCTCCTTTGGAGACATTCGTGCCGCACAAACTCGATATATTGCCCGAGGATGTCCGTTATTGGACGTTATTGGACGTTCACTAACGAGCATGGTGGATGGAAAGTTTATTGGAAGGCTGCTTCCGTCATCTGAGCGTGTGTACTGTAGACACAAACTTGGAAGAAATGAGGAATACGGCGCTCCATACGGCGCTCGTGTATTATCATTAAATACGCTTCGCGATGCAAAAGCGAGTATTCGCATGACCCTATATCCGGCTGTCTAGACATGGCCTCGCAATAAATGAGAACGTCGGTAAAAAGTAATAAAGACCATTTAAAGTTGTTTGAGCTTACTGCCAATAGCTAAAATTAATTTAATTATCTTAAAGCTATTTAAAACATCATTTAAATTTATAAATATTTGAATTAGAATATTGTAGCGCGAAAAATATTGTTTTTGCACGAATATTTTTTTAAATCATACAATTTTGTATCTTTCAACAATTAACATATTTTAATCATAAAAAAATTATATTAATATAAGGTGGTACACACGTGAAAACGCCAGTACGAGCGTGGCGTAGCGGCCAGCGCACAATACTGCTATGCTAGAGATCCCGGGTTCGATCCCAGGCAGAACCGAAAAATTTTTCGAACGCTCATAGCTCCTCTTGGCAGGCAATGGCAAATCACCGAGAGTATCTTTGCCAAGAGAACTTCTCTAACAAAAATTGTCGTTCGGAATAGACATTAAACAGTAGGTCCCATATGACAGTGTACAATCAGCGTGCGCGCCACAGCATATGAAAAGTCACCATGCTTAGCCACGAGCAATAGGACTAAGAGCAAATCAGAGGGATGAAATTATCCCTCTGATTCGTTAATAAACGAATTGATTGTAAAACTTAACCCAGCTTCTGAGGTCCAGGAATCCTCAAAAAGGTGTGAGGCTTATATATTTAAAAAAAAAATTTTTTTTTAAATTAAGAAATTACATCTTGGATTCTTCTTACATTATTTAAGATCGTATTATCTTTAGAGCAGTTTAATTTTCTTTTTACGGTTATTTTTTTATTTTTTACCAAGTAATCGATTGTACCTTTCATCATCTTCTAAGGTGTATGCCATCAGAGCTGCGCCTTTCTCGACAGTGGCGCAGGTGGATCCTAAATGCGAAGGGGCTTTACCAGTCATAGGGCTGGCGAAGCACTTGCGTTGCCTGTGTCGCGAAACAATCAGAAATATCGCTACGGCGAGTGAAAGTATTACGGCGGTCAGCACGCCGATCACGATCGCCATGTACGTGGGGTCGTCGTGTTTTGCAGTCGAAACCGGTAGTTCGCCCTCGGCGGCGCCGTTCTTCTCAACGAAGACATCACTCTGGATAGGTGATTCGGTGGTCGGGGCTTCCTCGGGCGTGAAGTTGCCGTGAGCTATGTCTAAATAAATAAGAGAAAGAGAAAAATATCAGTTTTATTTCGGATCCTTAAAATAATTAAATATAATCCTTCCTAAATTTTTTGAAATGGAATCTCACTTTAAAGAGTGAAAATTGAGCCAGTCTTGAAAAAGAGTGGTTTAATTTTTAATCTTAAGAGTGAGATTTTACTCTTCAGAATGACAATTCGCTCTAAAAATTTTAGAGGGTATGTAGATATATAATAACATTATCATACCGAATATGATAATAATATATATGGTATATATATATAATAAACATAAACAATATTAAAAATCTTTATTTTAGAGCGTATATGTTTGTTTGTGTTGTGTATAGATATAATAACTTGTAATAATATAATAATAACCTAATAAGAATAGCAGTTATTGATTTATTAATCTATTATACATATTATTTATACAATATACAGGATGTTCCAAAATTCGCGACTCAAAATACTTTTGAGTCTAAACTAAATAACAAGAAAGTTTTCGAGAAATTAAATAAAAAAGTTATTTGTAAATTTTTATTTTAAGCTATATCTTTTAATATATAATGGTTTAAATATGGCTAATTATACAAACTACGTTTAGGTGGTCACCTGTAAGTATTAGAGGGAGCGTATACCCCAGTAGTCACTGATACTACCATAAACAGGCGACTGTTTAAACGTATAAGTCTTTGTGTGTGGCTATATTTAAACTCTATTATCTCAAAAAATACTACTTGAAATAAAAATTTATAAATAACTTTTTTACTTATAATTTTCCGAGAATTTTCTTGCTGGAGTATTTTTAGTCGTGGATTTTGAGATACCTAAATATTTATATAAATTCGTAAATTCTTAACAAAATATATATAACACACACAAATCATTATCATATTTATGAAAAAAAAGATTGGCTGTTGCAGCAAATTAAGTGGTAAAATATGGCATAGTGTTTTTAATTGGCTGCTGTAGCCAATTTTTGGTTGCTTTAGTCTATCTGCAATGTCAGTATAGAATTCCGATAGGCTAACGCAACCAAAAATTGGCTGCTGCAACCAATTAAAAACGCTATGCCATATTTTACCATCTAATTTGCTGCAACAGCCAATCTTTTTTTTCAATATATACTTGAATACACTTGTATATACTTGAATTCTTGATTTTGAAATATAATTTTTTAAATGTGCTAAATGATATCTCCAGTAAACAGTACAATAAATAGTGAAATTTGATATACCGTAATGCTTTGTGATATCATTTGTGATTATTAAGGCTGTACAATATTAATAATTGCCATTATTGTTATATTCGAAACTATTATCTCTATCGTTATTATTATGTTACTATATGTGTGTGTGTGTGTGTGTGTGTGTGTGCGCGCGCGCGCGCGCGCGCGTGCGTGCGTGTGTGTGTGTGTGTGTGTGTGTGTGTGTGTGTGTGTGTGTGTGTGTGTGTGGTGTTTGACATTATTATGTTACTCTATTTGTATCGTGTTTGTCATTACCATATTAAAACGCATTTTGCAGTCTTTGAGAGATATTATTAGAAAAGTTTGTTTTTTTCATCGCGAGTGGATAGGTATCGTTGACTTGAACTTTGTGTACACAGCACGAGCATTAAGAAGCTTCCCTCACAGAAGGGTGCATCTAATATATGCGCGGAGATTAAGCTAATCGTGCATAAGGTGCGCGCAAAGATCTGCCTTTGAAGAACAAGGATTACAAAACATATATGCGCGAGATAGATATAGGTGCGTGAGAGCGTATGTACAGAGTGTATGTAGAGCGTATAATTAACCTGTATATGTACTTTGACATACGACTTCACTAAGGATGCTGCGAGGATATACGAAGGTTCGTTACGGAGAAGGTCGTTTGGTTTACTTCTCTCGTAAACGCGAGAGATAACGTTCCCCATTTATTATCATCGCGATATCGTATGAAAGAGACCGGCGGAGCTTTCAGCGTGTAAACATATTATATTACGCTTTTGTCGATGGGCTGTTTTGTGCACAAAAATTGCGTAATTAAACCCCCGCTGTTTGTTCTTTCACAGCGTAATTATACGCGTCACTCTCATGGTGTTTAATAATGCGCTTTAACGAAAAACGATACGATACGTTTTCCCGTTGTCTCGTTCTGGTAGCAGGGGGATTACGTTTCATCTTGCCATAATTATGAGGAGAGGAGAAAGGAGTGCGATAGATAAAGATTATTTTTCACGTGAAAGATACATTGATAGTACATACGCTCAGAGAAATACGTTCTTTTCCATCTATCTCGATTTTTCATTTTGTAAGATTAACATTTGGACGTCGGACATAAAGATAATCCTCTAGCTCGTTTCTATCCAAATGGTATATCTGAATTATTACTTTTTATCTGAATTATTGCTATTCTGGATTATTACTTCTCGATGCGCCGACGATTTTTAAATCCCATTTTCGTCACAGTCGACATGCTTCTATTTCGATGAATACGGTGTCACTCGTTTCTGTCGTTGCATTTCACTCGCCCGGCCGACAGAACAAGAAATAACATACACAGGAAGAAACGAAAAAGAATTACGCACACGGAAGCAACGTGCACGGATTCACGGCATAGCTTCCTAGTTTGCTGTTGGAGTCTTTTTGTGTAGCATTCGCATATGGAATTCTCCAGCAAGTTCTTGCTCGAATTTTTTACGCGGGAGCGCGCTACGAAAACTCTATTTCACCGTTTTACGTGCAGTAAAATAACTTCGTTTTGATGCAATTTCTGCAAGATTGGGTCGGATTATCCTTCTAACCCCGCTATTTTCTACAGTTTTTCCATCAATGTGTTCTTTGCAAATTGCGTGTATTGCAAGGAACGCATTGTGCAGTTAATTAAATTAATTAATTAATTGCGTCAGCTTAATCGTAAATTCTACCGAATGCTTTTATGTTATTTTGCATATTAGTAAATGAAATAAACATTCAAACATATTGTAAATGTCGGTAGTTTTAATAATTCTTCCGATAGAAGGTACGTTATTTCAACTATCAAATAATTTAATATCCTATAAACAATATTAATTGACATCTTTTTAATTGGTAACGAGTATAAAATTCATTTAGCAAATAATTTGGACAAACGATACATGCTAAATGCGAGAAGAAATTAAATTTAACAACGTTTGTTTAACCGACTAATAAGCTTTCCACTATATCGATATGCATTCTATTGACGGTTTATTTTGGCATCGATTTTAATTAAAAATAAAAATTTGATTGGAAGCCATTAGGTACTACTACAGTTTTCTCTCATCTTTCAATTTTCTTTCTTTTTAGATACATATATATTTTAAATATATTTCAGTAATTATAAATATCAAAATAATTTACAGTTAATGCTTATATTTTTGAATCAAAATAATAAAATTTATACCATTGAAGTGATTTCTGTTTAAAATATTTTTGCTATAGTTGCTATAATTCCAAGACTGACATATTTTTAATTCCGTAGAAATTTAGAATTCGTTTTTAAGGTATTACGTCATGTAATTTCAAGATACTCCCGACGTTATCGTTTAAATATTATTTTCATTATATTAAACATACTTTTGACAACCCGCAAAAACTTTCTACAGAAATGTTGGAACGTGCGCTTCACGTTGCGGCAAGATTTTAATTTAAGAAAAACGCGACGCACGCGGCATACGCATACTTATTTTCGCGAGGGGAGGAAGGAGAGACGTCTCTCGAGAAGGAAGCGTAACTCGCTCGTCTCCGGATTTTCCGCGAGAGTCGTCCTGAAATATCTAGCGTAAGAATATAAATTTCTTCGGATGCAATTCCGCCGCACGCTTTGTGAGTCGTCGGCGTGATTGTTTCTCCGAGACGGCCAAGGCAAGCGTAGCTTGCAGGAGCGCGAAGGGAGACCAGCTGGAGATGATAGGAGGTCCGAAAGGAGAAACCACGCCGGAGAAGCTTCGTTGCTGGCCTCACATCCTCGGAATCTTCGCGCGTGCGGTATTCCGTCGCGGAATTCCCGACGGGATTTACGCCGGACGGAAACAAAGCTGTCGTCGCGTTTGATATGGCTGGCCGGGCATCATTCATGACGGTGAGACGACCCCCGACGAAGGGGGGCCCGTTCTCGACGCGATCCCGCATGAAATCTGATATTAAACATTCTTTGCACCGGTACGTGGTTGTGTGAGTTTGAATTGAAAAAGGGAGGTTGCGCTGCAGTGGTGTCGAGATATCACCGCGCGATCTCGCAAAATTAACCGCGCGTGGTTGCGATATCGGTGATGGCGAAATTTGCGTGTAAAATGTTGACGAATTGTTGGCGGTGAGAGATAAAAATGGTAAGAATAATCACCCCTGCCATTCTCGTATGCACATTTATGCGAATAAAGCTTATCCGATGAAATTTGACGTATGCTAAAATATTTCCACGTGCATGCAGTAATCGAAAAGACCTTATAATTAATCACGAATAAAAATATTTTTTAACGCCTATATTTTTGTGTTAAAATATCAAAGCAAAAAATAGCGACATTTTTTCACAAGAATAGGTTAATAATAAAAATTTTCTAGAAATTAAAAAAGATAATAAGCATTATTATATCTTACAATAATAATTGAAATTTATAGAATTGTTTTTCGTGTTAGATATAATATATTTAATTTTACATAAACTCTAATAATAAAAATCGAATTCGTCTTTGGCTGATTTTTATTATTAGAATTTATATTGTATTTTCAATAACAAGCAGTCATAATATATTTTTGTATTTAATTTTATTTACAGCTTTGAAATATAAAATCAAGATAAATATTTTAAATAATATAATATCGTATTTTGTTATAATATAGTTGTAATCAAGATTAAATTACTAATAGACTTTAAAAAACTTAAAAAACTTTTTTAACGCCTTTAAAAACTTCTTTTGAAATCGATTACTAATTTCGTTTTGTTTATAGTGTTAGGATATGAGAAAAAGTATTTAAGATATCTTACGTTGAGAAAAATTTTGTCTTA